TATATATATATATATTATTACTAATATTACAGTAGTAATAACTATAAAAATGAAGCTCCTAGCCATAATTATTTTATTATGCAATTATAGTCACAAATACCAAGTATTTATCTCTCAATATATTTTTAGTGCTATCTAAGTAATACCAGCATGTCATATTCTTTGATAAAAAATATCAATACGAAAAGATATTATCTGTCCCATATAAGTATCAGCTATCAGACAGCTCTATCGTCGTGTACAAACGAATTAATCTTGGGACTAATTCTAATCTAGACGATAAGGCACTTAACTTCCTGAAAACGCGTTCCCTCCAATTTCAAGTTAAAATCACTTTTTTTGCTACATTGAAATTAATTCTTCGCTTCGATCTGCCTTTAATCGTATTTCGCTGTCACGATTAAACCGCGAAATCAGCAACACGGACTGTCAATTTTCAACTTTCATACAAGGATCGCCACTACACATTGCGAGGTTGGAGATCCATTAGCGAACGTCCCGCAGCGGCCAACGTCGCTCATCTTTACCCGGGAAATGCCAACATCTTCATTTCCCTTCGGTCACGTGTGAAATATTATCAAACCTCTCTTGCCATCTTCTTCGCTAAGCACGGTCCTTCGGGGAATAAACAAATATGCTAACTACATACACGAATACGATGGCTCTCTCTCTCTCTCTCTCTCTCTCTCTCTTTCTCTCTCTCTCTCTTTCTCTCTTTCTCTCTCACTCACTCATTTTTTCCTTCACTTTTCTCTATCTTTTTCTCTTTTTTTTCCGCGCGTCTTTATCTATCTCTTCCTTCTCCGAAGATTCGTCTTTTTTCGAGCCGAATTCAGCATCACACGAGAAAACATTCGACGAAATAAAATGTGCAATTCTCCTACAACTTGTCTCTCTTTCTCTCTCTCTCTCTCTCTCTCTCTCTCTCTTTCTCTTTTTTACTCTTTCCATGTCTTTATCTTTCTCTCTCTGTCTGTCTCTGTGATATGGACCCCTCCGTCCTTATCCAACAAACCAATATTTTCAGTGTTTGCTGTGTCCCGATAGTATAGATATCTTTTATACATTTAGCGCATGGTGTGACAAAACATTCGTAGCCGTCGATGCTTATCGTTCATGAGTATCGGAAGAATCGAATCGCTCGGATCGGCTGTCTCGAGCTTCTCTTCCTCTCCCTCTCATTCTTTCTTCCTTTCTCTCTTTCTCACTCTTTCTGTCTCTCCCCTCTCTCTCTCTCTCTCTCTCTCTCTCTCTCTCTCTCTCTCTCTTTCTCATCGTCATTCACT